AGGCCCCCTCGGCGTGGTGGGAGCAGCGGCCACACCCCCAGCATCTAGGGTTTAGGGTTATCTAGGATGCTGAGATTCTCTGAAAGCCCAGGTACATATATAGTAGTTTCAACAGCACGGTTTTTGATGAGTTTTAGGAACAGCCCACTATATATATATATACATATATATATATATATACACATCAAAATGAAAATATAAATAGATAAATACATAAATAAATAAATATGAATATAAATATAAATATAAATACAAATATAAATATAAATATATATATATATATGTTAATATATATATATTATATATATATATATATATATATATATATATATATTATATATAATATATATATATATATATATATATTAATATTAATATTAATATAAGTAATTAATATTAATATTAATATTAATATTAATATTAATATTAATATTAATATTAATATTAATATTAATATTAATATTAATATTAATATATATATATATATATATATATCTGGACTTTCAGGGACCGTGTGGTCTTGAGGTCTCAAGCTGGAAAGGTTTCGGGTGTACAGCTTCAGGATTCTCGGGGTGTAATGTAGGAGCCTGATTACTGTAATAAACCCTCCTGGGCCTATAACCCCAAAATAGTCGGATTCATAAATGGAACCCAAACAAGGCCCAAGGTTTTTTTAATCAGGTTCCAACATTAGGACCGAAGGCTCTGGAGCAAGCGGTTAATTCAGGCTTTTCGGTTGTTGGTGTTGGTTGCTTCCGGCAGTGCCGGGTTGTACCGGGCTAGTTGCGGATCCAACACAGGGGAGTAGTGGTAGTAGTAGTAGTAGTAGTAGTAGAAATAGTAGGTAGTATTGGTAGACCCCCGATAATCCCGAAAGGGCTCTACACGAAGACCCATCTAGACAGACAGACCCATAGACCGATAGAGGTGCCGGATATCTTGATGTTGCTTGGCGTTCTTCTGGTTGGCTCTTTAGACTATAACTTTTTGGGTTTCTATATGAACTATAATAAGGAGGCTAAACGTTTAACTTTTAGGAGGGGTTTAGAAGTCAGCCAAGGTTTCTAAGCATATGTATGTAGATACACACACGTAATACATGTTCTCCTTCCTCCCCCAAAAGCACAGTCTACTGATGAAGGCACACATTCGGGTTTTCACGAGCCATGAGGATGCTAAACCTGAAGTCTTCGCACTCCTACACACTAAGGTAAACGCCAGAAATTTGGAATATGATTATCCTAACCCTTCTATCGTAAATTATAGGGTATCCTACCATGAAACCATATTCCAACTTTCTGGAGTTCCCTGTAGGCTTTAGATAGCCCAGAAGCCCGAAGTAAAATGGTTTTTGGGCTCAAGAGCCTTAGAACACGAACGAAAGGCTCTCAGGACTCATCTTTCCAGTTTTCAGGGTTTTTGATTCGAAGACCCAAGCAAATAGTAGTTAAGGCTTAGTCCCATGTTTGTTGCACCCAACACTCCAATTAGCCCCAAAGTGCATACTGTATAACTTACACATATTAATGGCCGGAAGTACGCATTATGTGTATGCTTTGACTCGTGAGGGAAACCCAGAATTCCAGAGCCCCAAGCCCAAACCACACTGGAAACAGAGTTCACCTTTCACGATATTTCCCCAAAGCCCGAAGTACGCCCATATATTGAAGCATAGACGCACTAAACCTGGAAACCCAAGTTGAGTCCTAAGGCCGGATGGACAATCCTAGTAGTAGAGTAAGTAACCTTTAACCTTTTTCGGGTAGTATAGCCCCTACATAATCCCTAAATAACCCAAAAAGGTTAACCTTTAGTTCCCCAAGATACCCAGGCTATAGAACCCTTCTTGCAACCCCTCCCCCAGAGACTCCAAAACCCCTTAATTAAGCAATCTACCGAAACTTATAATAAGGATCCCTAATATGATGTAAGGAATTTTCCTTAATTAGGGGTTTTGGAAGCTCTGGAAATAGAACCCTTCTTGCAACCCCTCCCCGTCCCATGCCAGGCACCAACAGCAGCAGCACCATTTCCATCTCCCAGTTGTTTGCGAAAGGCGCCGCTACCAAGAGACTCCCAAACCACTTAATTAAGGGGATCTACCTTAAATTATAGTAGGATCCCGAATATGGTTTGAGAATATTCCTTAATTAAGGGTTTTTGGAAGCTCTGGCTACAGGGGTTCAATAATGAAGATAACAGTACTGTAGTAGAATATAACCTGAAACGCAACTCTAATCCTACGTAGCTACATGAGGGATAAAGCCTTGCTTTCAGGCTTCTGGGGGCTGCGCATGGACGTGTGTAAAGCTTGGGGCTTTGAGGCAGGGTTTATCGTGCAGTGTTTGTTGCCCTGGGTGTCGGGTTGGGCACCCAAACTCTCCTAGTTCTCTACTATTTGCTTAAGAACCCCACAAAAATAAAAAATATATTCCTTATGGGGGGTAATATAGGGATTATATATTTTTTTTATTTTTTGGGGGTTCTTAAGCAAATAGTAGTTCTCCAATAGCCAACCTTTAATCTTTGTGCTTTTTACATACTTTAGTAGTAATCTGAAGTTTGGAGTTCTCCTATTTTAGGAGTAATCTGAAAGTTTAACCGTTTTTTTTCCTTGGCTTATTGGGGAAGTAAGCTCTCGAACCCTCAAACTGGCGACAGAGGTGACCTTCTCAGCGGAGAGACAAGGTTCTGCACTTAACCCAGAGGGTCCATATACACTACACTACGGTTGATGATATAAATCCTGCATTACCTTAAGGGCCCTAAACTATGGGAATTATGATATATTCCTTATTTAGGGTAATGCAGGATTTATATCATCAACAGTACCACTGTTGAATTAGGTCCCCAAAACCATCAATAGCCTTTTGGGACCTAATTCCATAATGGTAGGACCCTCTGGGTAAAAAAATCCTGACGACACTGATGAACACAGCGGGGAGATCTTTGCAAAGATCCACTAGACTAGGCGAAACATCTCAATATGGTTTAGGGTTTACCTCTAGCCGTAAAGACCCACCTTTCTAGGGCTCCTTATTATGATTTCTATATAGTTCCTAGGATACCCAGTAACCTAAGAATAAAAAGGCCTCTCTTTTTGGTATTGGGTAACTTTATAAGGAACCTAGGACTACAAAAAGGGAATAAGGGTACTACTGGGCATCCTAGGTTCCTCAAAAGGTAGGTCTTTTCGGCTACAGGTAGTAGGGTCTTAGCAGCTTCGGAGCCGCTGAATGAAGGTAAAGATCTTTGGACCCAGACCTTCCAAAATCCCTTAATTAAGGAATATTCTTTAATCATATTAGGGATCCTACTCTAATTTAAGGTATATTCCGAAATTAAGGGATTTTGGAAGGTCTGGGGATTTGGCGTTGTTGTCCGAACTCCAATCCGTCGGCTCATTTCAACATCCTAAACCCCTAAGCCTGATTCCTACGCCTTGGGCTCTGAAACCTGTACACATCCATACACTCAGCCAAACCCTAAACCGTAAAGCCAAAACCCTTAATGCTACAACCCTGAAGCCCTAACCCTAAACCCTGAACCCTAAATCACGAAACCCGCAGCCAGATACCTGAAGTTCAACGTCTCCAAACTTCCCCTGACCCCTGCCTTAAACTACAAGACCCTAATACAAAGCCCTAATAAAGTGCTATTTCTGTGTTCTCTTATTATTGTTAATTACACTATAATAAACCCCCCCAATAGACCACTATTCTAATCATCAAGGCCACCATGTGGCTTTTTAGGTGTAGGGTTTGCGAAATTCGTTTCAGGGTTTATGACAAGAACCTACAAAAAGCGAGCTATGGTAGTTCAAGGCATAGCCGATAGCCCGGGAGCCCTACTGTATCAACGCAACTCAACAGGCCCATCGTCCTCGACGAAAGCGCTGTCGCCGCGAGGATCGATTCGGAGGCACCGGTAAGATCACCACTGCTGCTGTTCTTTTATGGTTTTTCCGCTCTTCCTCCACCGGTGCCACCGTCTACCGCAACTAAGGCAAGGAGTCTCTCAACGTTTGGGTAGCTGCCGCCATGCAGGTACATGTCAAAATCCGTCAAAAGCAAAGTGTGTCCTCGATCTAGGGTCTGTGGTTCAGGGTATGGCATGCGACTATGACGCTACCGCTAGTGCTCCTGCTGCTGCTGACGCCACGGCTGGCGTTTGCCTTTGTAGTGACTGTACCACTGTATCGATCATGGGTACTTATGTGTGTTTCTTGTACCAATGAGGGCTTCGTTTCTGGTCCTAAAAGCTGAAGCCTTTAGGTGGCAGCCTAGGGTATATGGGAGTTTCCGAAAATTGGGGGCACTTTATTTTGGGGTCCTTATAATAAGGATCCTACTATTTAGGCTACTTTATGAGGGTCCCCCATTTTCGGAAACTCCCATATGGAACCCGCATTCACTAGTGCTGCCAGGCCAGCTCCTCTTGAGCCTCGTACAGAGCTCTTTTCCTCATCCTCCATTCTCTGTTTCAGGGTTTGGGGTGTGGGGTTTCAGGCTCTTCCTGGACCCTAAATAACCTACCTTTTTTCAGGAAATCATACAAGGAGCCCTTAGAAAAGGTAAGTTCTATAGGGTTCTTACACTTCGGGTTACCCTCAAAGGCATGACCGCTGGGCCTCCAAGCTGAAGACCCAGCATTCTGGCAACGTCCCAATCTCAATTCCCTAGTAGTAGAGGAAGTAACCTTTAAGCTTTTCTGAGTCTTATTATATAACCCCTATATAACCAAAAAGGTTAATCTTTAGTTCCCAGGATACCCGACAAGTAGGAAGCCCTAATGCCTAACGAAGTTCACCCCACAATAGACGGCCGAGACCTAAGCATCAGCTGGCTGAGAGTTTAGGGCTTGCTGTAGTGGAAATGCATTACGAGTATCCTGTTATTGAGGTTCCGGAATTGCATGTAGATCTGATAATATCAGTACTAGACAGATCGTATCAATAATGATGGACTTGCAAGTGAAGAAAATAAGGTGAATCTCCAGAAATGCCGGGACTCGCAACATACAGCCGCTCGGGTGATCCGCTTTTGCTGCCTTCGGCACAAAACGCTGTGCCTGGATCCAAAGCGAGAGCCGGATATCAAACCGACGCCCCCAGAGTTTTGGAACAAGGACCAGATTGTCCATTCGATGGAGGTCCTGAGGCAAGACGGGGCGCCCTGGGCTTGTGTGGCTTCTGATACAGCTTGCTCTGGCTGAGCGTGGCGGGGCCACGATGAGGTGTCAGTTTCGCTGGCTGCAGAACTTTGCGCCGGAGGATAAAGGAGTCCCGCAGATCTCTGTGGAAAAAGTGAACGGCAAGACCAAGGCCAATGTCGTGCCGATCCCGCGACCCTGGCCAGCCTGCTACATCGATGGATGCATCACACGCCCACAATAGTAGCAGCAAACAAACATTAGCTATATTACGCAGGAAGATGACATATGAACCAAAAGTTTCATTTTGGGTGCTCTTTACATATGTGCACGCACACAATATTGTATCATGTCATGTCATATCAGATCGTAACATATATACAGACATGCATTCATGCATCCATCCATCCATCCATCCAGCCAACTAGCTAGCCAGCCAGCCATTAGTTCATTCATTCATTAATTCATTCATTCATGTATACGCAAAAGTACATGTTCCTGTATGTATGTACGCATGTATGTACGTATGTATGTATGTCTGTTTGGTTGTTTGTTTGTTTGTTTGTCTCTCTCTCTCTCGCTCTCTCTCTTTCTCCCTCTTCTCGTGTCGGTCTGTGTCTGTCTGTCTGTGTCTGTGTGTGTGTGTGTGTGTTTGTGTGTTTGTGTGTGTGTTTGTGTGTGTGCGTGTGTGTGCGAGTGGCTGGCTCGTCCTGCCTTGCAACAGGACAAAGTCTGCTTCCAACGTGGCGACTTTCGGACCCACAGCTCCGTTGAGGCGTCGAAGCCTAAAAGGCCTAGGTTCCTCAGTAGTGCACGTTTTAAAGTGGGATCCTTAAGGGGGGTTCTATAAGGGATCCTTAAAGGGCTTTAGAAGGGATCCGTAGGGGTTTAGGGTCTACTAGGTTCCTCAGGAGTACACTTTTTTGGAAACTTAGTTCTACGATACCCAACCTTTAAACGTGTTGGGTTTATATACGTTTAATTCTCTGAAAGTTTTACCTTTTACTTCCCGGGCTTAAGGTGTCCTTAAAGGGTTCTATAAGGGCTCCGTTGAGGCGTCCTGCCGAGCGTAGAAGCCTAAAGGGCCCCCGGTTGTTCAGTGGTGCACTTTATTGAAACTTAGTTCTACGATACCCAACCTTTAAACGTGTTGGGTTTATATACTTTTAATGATGAAAGTTTTACCTTTCATTTCCCTGGCTTAAGGGGTCCTTGAAGGGTTCTATAAGGAGGCGTCCTGCCGAGCGTAGAAGCCTAAAGGGCCCCCGGTTGCTCAGTGGTGCACTTTATTGAAACTTATAAGTTCTACGATACCCAACCTTTAAACGTGTTGGGTTTATATACGTTTAACAATTCTCTGAAAGTTTTACCCTTTATTTCCCTGGCTTAACGTGTCCTTAAAGGGTTCTATAAGGGCTCCGTTGAGGCGTCCTGCCGAGCGTAGAAGCCTACTGTAAAGGGCCCCCGGTTGCTCAGTGGTGCACTTTATTGAAACTTATAGTTCTACGATACCCAACCTTTAAACGTGTTGGGTTTATATACTTTTAATAATGAAAGTTTTACCTTTTATTTCCCTGGCTTAAGGGATCCTTAACAGGTTCTATAATGGATCTGCGGGGGTTTAGGGTCTACTAGGTTCCTCAGTAGTACCCTTTGCCCTTTTGTTCCAGGGGTTCTCTTACTGAATACCAGGACAGAGTACACCCTCATGATTATGGGGACACTGGGGAGCCTAGCAGCAGAAGTACTTTACCCTTAGGATTTCTCATTGCAGCTTTACGATAAGAAACCAAGAAAGTCTCTTCAATTTCTGTATTTCCTTTGTTAGGCCCTTTTTAAACCGAAGATAGTGTTCGGGGCTTGCTACGGGATTTGTGGTTCGAGTTGGTTTAACGGTCTATGGTTGAGTGTTAGCTAAGTGTTCCCGGGATCACGACAGAGCGGAATTTCTGCAGTTTTGGATTTGGTCATGAGTATACGAGTAGAGTCAAGGATTAATTAGGCTCTTTAGAGCAAGGTTCCAGGTTTGTCAAGATAGGTTTCGAGCCAACACATAAACCCTAAACTAAACTCCAAAACCCTAAATCCTAAACCAGCCTGGAAGTGCGTTTGGGTATTTCCCCACGGGTTCAGCTTGAAACCGAACAAGTTCGCGTTGGAAAGTATTACGGCCCCTCTATCATAGAATCCCACTATAGTCACTATAGGTCCCCTATAGAGCCCTTTAAGGGACCCCTTTAAAGGGAACCCCAATTCTAATCATTGCGTCTTGGGTTCTCTAGGGTTCCAGCCCTATGACCTCGGAGCCCAAAGCCCTTCACCGTTGTACATTCCGTGCCCGCAGCTAGCGACCGCATCTTCAGGGCTGCTTAAGGTTCTTGCTTAGGGTTTAGGCTGTACCAGCAAGTGCGTGTGTCTACTTTTTTTCATTCCGAGGAAAATATCTAGACTTTATTAATTTGGTGTACATTCTACGCTGGATTACTTTTTTATGTTCGAGGGTTTGGTGTACTTTTCCCGCTGGGTTGTTTTTTGTTTCCTGGCTGCGGGGGCTTTTTGGGGGCGCGGCTGGGTTTACTTTTTCCGATCGGCCAGGTTTACTTTTTCAGGGTGCTGGGACCCCCGATGGTGAAAAAAATGGTGAAAACAAACCCGTACTGAAAACCGTACCCGAACCCAAAGCGTAACAACGTGAACCAATGTCGAAAAAAAGCCGTACTCAGATTTCACCTTTTACCCGTACGCAACCCGAACCAGGGCGTACTGGCATACTTTCCCCGCTCGGCTTACTTTTTCCGCAGGCTGTTTGAGAGGTAGATCCCGGCATACTTTTTGCGGCGCCAGGGTTTATTCAAGGGTGAAGCGCTGCATACTTTTTTTGCGACGCAGGAAAATTCTAAGCCGAATCGGCGGAATAGAAAAAAGTATGCCGACGAACTTACTGGTAGGTGTTGGAGTCTAGGGCTCAGGGTTCACGATTTGCGGTTCAATCTTAGAGCTTCGTGGTCCCGTGGTTTAGGTATAGACTGAGGCATTATTAGGATTGATTGTATGCGAGCTTTGGGGTGCGGATCTTAAGGACGCTTCACCCTGTCGCGGTAGAACCTGTAGCGCGAGTGCGACCTTTCAGAACATGGTGTCTGGTGTGGTAGCGCAACAACGCTATAGTTGTGACATCCTAGGGGTCCGAATGCGCAGAGCCATATAATTACTCTACCATCCCAACATGAAGTTCTACTTGATTAGGGACATAAGTTCACCAGTGCTCTAGCGTGATCGCTACTTCTTACATACTATACGAGGCCGGAATAGGTACTGACATTGTGCCTAGGGTTCCGTATTCTGACTTCACCGTTATAATGAATCTGTGCCCCAAAACCTTAATCTAATTACTATGGCCCCATGCCAATCCCTAAATACTTACTTCAAGCTGATCCTTCTCGCGCCCAAGCGCGTTATCGAGAGCCAGAAAGCCTCAGTGTGAACGCGAAGGCCGAATCCCAGCCCCTATACCCCAAACCCTAATCATACAACCTTCTCAAGCAGGTGTTTCCATGATGGATCGCAGGGGTGTGGAGACCACCATAGCCACGGGAGGATCTAGAAAGTGGATTTTCTAATTTGGGACCCTAATCCCTTCCCCCAAATATTAAACCGCTCCCCCCCCCCCCTCCCTAATATAAAAACTGGATTTCGGAGGTTTAGTTTTTATATTAGGGGGGGGTTCGGTTCGGTGCATCCACGTACCCGGACTCCCAGCTGCTAGCTATCCTAAGCCTGGAGCCCTACTAAAGCCCTAAGCCCTAAGCCTCCAGCCCTAGACCCGAAAGCCCTGAGCCCTAAACTTTAAGCCCTAAAGCCCCAAGCCCTAACGCTTTAGCCCTAAACCCTTAAACCTAAAGCTCTGGTGTCTTTAGTACAGGTGTAATCTTTGGCTCTACAAAGTCCTGAGCCCTAAAGCTTTAGCCCCTTAAACCCTAAAGCTCTGCTGTCTTTAGTACTACTGTAGTCTTCGTTCAATTAAAACACATACAGATCTGCCACCCCCCCTAATGTTGTCCCTTTTAAATTGAATGTGGGGCCCGAAACCGCGAAATTCCGGGGGCCGGAAGTTTTTATATTAGGGGGGGTTGAGTGTTAGGGGGAAGGGATTATGCTACTAGAGGGTTAAGCCGTCAGGGCTGCAGACCCAAGGCATGAGAGTCTAACCCCAGGAGTCCACTTACCTATATGGGAGCTTCCAAAAATTAGGGGTACAGTACCTTATTTTGGGGTCCTTATAGTAAGGATCCTGTTATTTTGGGTACCATATTAGGGTCCCCTATTTTCGGAAACTCCCATATAGTTGTTTGCTCTTCCTTAAGCCCTAAAATGAAAAGTGGTGTGGTGCCCATGTCCCTGGCTAAATCAGCTGCTCCTGAATCGCTACAAATTTACATGCGGTATCTTTTCTGTGTATGTATACCCCTATGCCTCCAGGGACCTTATTATGGGGTCCTTAAGGGGTCTAGGGCCCTAACTATGAGGTCCTTGCAGGGATAGGGTATGTGTATGTGTATCACGTATAGATACCATAACCCAGAAACCTACCATATAGGCAACTATGCTCTCAGGGTAAGGTTTTTGCAATATGTCGCGGAGTGATGTGCTGTGGGCACGGCCCTGAGTTCCTGTCACATTTTGGGTTTCAGGCCCTTCTAAAAGCCATGGATGTCTAGTGTTTGACGGGCGCTACTGCAAGCCCTTTCAATAGCAAGTACATCCTACATCTTAAAAAACGATGTAAAATGCAGGAACAACTCGGCGAGAGCTGCCGATCGTTTTCACCAAATGGGACTAGCATGAGGTCTTGTCTGATGCATGTGGTCGCCGACTTCTTATCTCTAGAGTATGACTATTCATTGGTCACGCTTTACATTAATTGGGCCCAAATCCTGCAGAAGCTTTTGGTTGCTTGGGCGGTCGGGGGCTGGTAATTAAGGTAGTTATTTATCATAACCCTAATTAGGATCTTTTTTAGACGACGTGTAAGTCTGCTTATTACCTACCTACGAAGTCCCCCGACCCTCCCAGTATGGCTTCGCTTCTGAAATGCAGGGTATTACAGTATAACCCTCTAAAGCAGCAGGTAATTGGCGCCACGGGGCAATTAACACTACGCTTAAGGTCATGGGTACCATG